ATTTTGGGAAACCCCCATGTTGGGGGGAACTTTTTTGGGGTACAGTTTCGCAACCATTGACCTAAACCTCCAACCCTGAACCTTTAAAAACTGAACTGCCAAACCCTCATCCAGCTTCCTGATTTGAGGATGCAGGCGCCTAGCCAGTGGTTTAGGGTTTAGGCTTGGTGGGCGAACCTCAATGCTTGGCTGCTGAGCAGCATCGTCGCCCACGCTCAGGTCACAAATGTGGTTGGAGCACACACCTCGGTAGACCTGCCCGTCTGCAATCCGCTGTTTGCTATGTGAAGACTCGGGACCAGTAGTAAGAATGACAACAAAAGCCGCAATCGTACTTCTAGCTTATAATTAATAAAGAGGCCACCAAAGGAACGGGGGTGTACGCTAATGTCATTGGATAGTTTCCATAAGTACGGGACCTCAAGATAAATCCCAAATGACATTGTAGGGGCCCCCACAAAGGTACCCCTATTTTTGAATGGATGGCAGTGACCTCTGGTGGCCTGAATGTGCCCCACTATTTTTGTCAAATTCGCCTGTAATGATACCCTGGAGTGCCGTAAACCCAAAAACCTAAACCCTAAGGCAAGTACTTGGAGATCCACGGTAGTTCTAGGATCCAGGACTTACTTACCATATATATCCCTTTTTCAGTAAGTTTGTTGTTGAAGGTTATGAAACAATTCTAGGCCCTTAAGTCCAGTGATGTAGTTACAACTGGGCTTTAAGTACAGGTTTGGTGACCCCCTCCACCCTGTAATAGTTGTATAGTAAGAACTCAAGAAGACCCTAATATACTTACCATTATCCCTTCTAGTCACTATTACAAGGCGGGGTCCACCTAAGGTACACACTGAACCTCCAAGTATTGCTGCTAAGCCGGGATGGGCTACAACACAGCCAACAGGGTTTATAGTCCCCCTTCAGTAGATAGAATATGGCTTTGGGATGATATTATAATAAGATCACCATGTAAGCCATGTTCTATCTACTTAAGGGGGGACTATAGGGTCTAGGGATGCTGAGCATGCTGATGCGGAGAGTGGCACTTCGCCAAAAAATGCTCGTGGTGCTGGTCTTCTTTGCCTGAACCTTCAACCCTGAATCCTAAACACCAAATCGGTTTAGGGTTTTGGGGCTTGGGATTTCAGAATTGAAGGCTCAGGATTTAGGGTGGTATCATATTTACTACTGTTCTTATTGTTGTTATTTCTCTTGATACTATTACTGTTATCATGGTGAGGCCTGGAGGCTTCTGTTATGCTAAAACTTGGAAGCTACGCAAGTGCATCTGCACATGTCCTTTGGCACCAGTTTGGACAAGCTGAGGGCAGCTGAACCTCCAAAATCCTAAGACTCCTGAATCCAAAGCCCAAAAACCTAGGTTCGATCCCAAGCCGTACGTATGACATCCCAATTCCTTTAAGTCCTCTTCTTATTGGGGGTTAGTAGGGAGTAGGGGAACATAATCCCTATATGATCCCCATATAACGTATTCTCCTATTCCCTACTAACACCCGGTATGTCTTCATAATCAGCCCTGCCTTGTTGTCCGGGAAGGCGGTGCCTGCCTTGTCCGGCTTGTCCTGGGTTTAGGGTTTAGGGTTCCAGTCAAGCATGGAAGCCCCCAAGGAATGTGGCAGTAGATCCTAAGCCCTAAGCCCTAACCCCCATACTGGGTTCTGTACTACTGGCCTTGTACAAAGGAAGCCTACATCGGGTTGCATAGCAGGTTCCATAGTCATGTCTAGGACCCACAAAAGCAAATAGACAGAAGGATAGATAGGGATATCCTTTATGACCTATATACCCTACCCTAAACCCTGAGACCGCCAACCCCCAGAAGGAAGGGATATCCCGAACAAAGCTTATGCTTATGTCCTTCTCTTGCTCCCAAATCCTAAAGGCTTGCAGCAGTGTCCTCACCGACATCACGGTTGGAATGGGTGCCGTCCACCTGGTTTTGCAGAGAGTTATTTAGGGTGGTTCCCCAAAGTCAGGGATACAATTTTGGGGCCCGTATAATGAAGAAGATATTATTCTGGGGATCTATCTGGGGGCTCCCTTACTACCATCTAGTATAAGTCAGGAAGATACCTTGGATGGTACTAGCTGCTGAGTTTCCGGGTCCCAAAAAAGTTCACAGTTCATTCATAATCTTAGCATTTATGCCAACCATGATGACCCTAGACATAAAGGCAAAAAAGAATCGTGATTCTAACGCTTGAATCTGGGTTGGCCCCTAAAACCCTTTGAAACATATGAATATATAGGGTCCCCTATTAAAGCAATTAGGGAAAATTATTTGAGATCCCAGGGCCTACCCAGTAACGCTTGAATTTAGAGCCAAAGCCTCACCTCAACAACGCGCTTCACGCAAAGCGAGACGGTCTTGGAGGTCTCATCATCGCCCACGGCGGAGGAAGCGATGGAGTACAGGCGGATCCTTACCAACTGGGTAGCTCCAAAGGGTCAGGGGCTGTAGCAGTCGGACTCGTTTTCATATGTTCACAGCAAGCCCGCCCATCTTTACCCCAAAGTCATATTCCTTGCTACGGAGACTCCCAAAAGAGAATCCCTAGTTTGCAGGATTCCTCCAGTACTGTAAGTTTTCATGGTGGCCTGGGTTAGATGTGCAGTGGTGGTGCATGCTGGTTTAACATGTCTGCCCCAAACCCTGTATGTCCTTCACAAACCGCCACATCACCCCTACCATCTCCTCAAAATGTTAAAAAAGGGAGCCCGCACTTCGGCACCCCTAGGGTGAATCGCCATAGAAACCCCTCAAACCTAAACAACCCTAAACCCTAAACTAAACCCTAAGCCCCTTTTGCCTCAACCCTGCATAACTGTAAAAACCACAAAGCTCTCTCAGCCCAACAAAATCTATTAACGCGATGGCCTAGACTACCCAGGGCTTAGGGTAAGGATCCAAAAAATGCAACCCCCAATAATCCTGTAGTTTCCCCAGATGAAGCAATGGGAGTGTGTTGTTTTTTCTTCCTGGGGGTGGGGGGTCCACTTTTTGGATCTTGCAGGGGGTCTCGATTAGCAATCTTACTGCTACTATTCGTATCATTATTATTATTGAAGTAACTCGTACTACTATTAGTAGTGTCGTCTTATGTAGTATTAGTATTGTTATTCTTCTTACTTATTATTAGCAGTATTACGTTAGTACTTATCATTTGCAGGATTGTGGCCCGCAAGCTCGTCAATCCCAGATATCCCCTACTTGGAGGTTCAGGGTACTGTAAGTAGAATCCACGTATAGCTGAACTAACCCATCATGGAACATGTACGAGGACTTCCGGGCCTTCATGCCTTAGTAAGTACAAATACAAGTAGCTTATAGCTACCCAGAATCTCCAAGTTAGCCCCTCAAACCTCGCTCCCCCGCAGGACCTGACTCCTGAACCCTGACCCCTAAACCCTACACCTAATCCCTAAACCCTAAACCCTTAAGCCCTAAACCCGACCGCATCCCTGGAACCTAAGCCCTGAGACGTGAGCCGTAAATCTCAACAAATCCTGAACCATGAGCCCTGAACTCTCAAATCTCACTACCCCCCCATCCCCATAAAGTTTAGAATTTAGGGTTTTGGGTTTAAGGGGCTTAGGATTTCCCCCCATCCGTTGGAACCCTCACCACTATAAATCCTGAACCCTAGATCCCCCTCAGCTTCTCTTTTCATATTTCAAGTCTCCTTGCCGGAGTTTCTCCCTTCTTGTCAGGTCCTCAACAGAGTGGAGTATGAAGGGTTATTCTGGGTCCCTGCAATAAGGTTAATAATTTTTGGGGGTCTACATTGAGGCCCCACTTTTTGGGGAACTACCACTCATCGGACATCAGTTAGGGTGCTCTTATATTGCTATCATTCCACTATTACAGGGCGGAGAGTCAAGCTAAGAGATCAGCTTCTTTAATAACAGGGTTTTGGTAAGCCTCTAAGATTGGGACCCTCGACTAGTCATATGATGGCTATGAAGTCCCGAGCTCGGGAGTTTTGGTTGGAAAAGCCCCTGTTAGTCTTCGCCTAGGGTTTCTATCCCACATGATGAAGGATGAAGTGGAATTGCAATAGAAACTCATTAGTATACTTATTTAGCCTCTTCGCCCTCCAAGTACGGTAATCCACTCCGCTAATAACATACCCCCCGAACATCCTGATGATACATCTTCTTCTAGGATATAATGGTGCTACATTGGGGATTGTCTTTGGGGTGGGGCGGGGTCTGGGTTATCATTACAGTAGGGGGCTTCTCGTTTGCCATGGTCCAGCCCATAATCCCCCCCTCCCGTGAAGACTCCCTGGTATCATTTCCTGTTCCTGGAATCTTAATTAGATCCTGGAACGTTGTTCCTAGGTCCTAGAAGTCAAACGAATTTGATTGCAAGCAGCCCTTAACCCTAAAAAGTTTCCGTAAACAAGGAAATATGTACCTCCCCCTACTGTAATGATAACCTAGACCCCGCCCCACCCCAAACATAATCCCCAATATAGCACCATTATATTCTACCCTTTGTCAAAATGCAGCCAGGCCTCCAAAGGACCTCAAGCCTTCATTGCCCAGGAGGTCTTGCACATCAACATCCCGAAAACACACACAAAACGCGTCCGCAAGAATCTCTGAAGACCCTACCAAAACCCTAAATCTTGCTCCCTTAAATCCTGAGCCGTTATAACCCATATATAACCCCAATATACTATAGTAGTCTCCATTTTCTTTTCCATTATCCCTATATTACCCCCTTGGGGCCCCCATGCCCGCATTCAAACACCCATCAAGCACCACGCCCAAGCCTTAACTCCGAACCCTACACCCTGAACCCGCAACGCAAAAAGTCACTCCAAACCCTACATCCTGGATCCTAAGCTTGAGAAACACCATCTATCCCCTATGTAACCCCCAAAGCCCTGGCTTCAGGACCCCCAATTTCTGTAGACTCTAAACCTAAGCCCTAATCCCCAAATAGATCCCCTGAACCCCTAAACCCTAAACCCCTAAACCCTAAACCCCTAAACCCCTAAACCGTAAATCCCTAAACCCATAGTGTCCTGGAGCAATGACACCGATGGACTGGCCCTCAATGTAGGGCACGTTGCCGCCGTGGTCAAAGGTGACCTCGGCAGCGTGTGCATTGAGATTACTATGCAGCGGTTTCTAAATTAAAAAAGGGTACCTTACCGTAGATAGGTAGATATTAGGAGGACCCCCCCACCCTGTAATAGTGGTACACTAAGAGTATAAGAGCACCCTAATATAATCCCTATTATCCGCTATAGTCACTATTACTGGGTGGGGGGTCCACCTAAGGTAGATAGCAACACTCTCTATATACATATCCCTTGTAGAAAGGAAATTGCACATGGTGGGGGTCTTAAGTGCGCAAGATTTTCTACATCAATCGCAAGCACCCTTTTCATGGTGATACAGGGGTTGTGAGGGGATTGTGATTGCAGGGGATACCTGTGAGGGATTGTATGCAAGCATTTTGAGAAACTTCCATAGAATCCCCTCGCGTAACTGTGAAAGTACCCACCACCCTAAAACAAGTTTACAACAGTAGACACATTGTTGCGTGATGGGATCGGGGTTCTGGGCTTGCTTTTGCAGAATGCTCGGATTATTTGGAGACTCGATCAAATAGGAAGGATGAAGCAAGTTGGTACCCAGGGATTCAAAGATCGAGGTCATCATCCTCTCTTAGGTCCCGCTACACGTGGTGACCTTTGCATCTTCCCCCATGCCTACTCGCAACAGCACCTGTGGTACAGCAACAGCTACCACGCAGTTCTCCAGATGGCAGGACCTCAATTGCCACAGCCATACAAATGGGTGGTTGTCAACATGATGGTCCCTTTTTGGGTACCCTAAATATTGGGTGCCGTATTATAATAGGGAACCCAAAGGGGACCATAATTTTGACAACCACCCAAATGGACACTTGATAGCAGATGCCTCTACTCGCCTCTTGAAACCAGGTCGCGTGGGTAGTCTCCCAGTTGGCATCGCCGGTGTCCTACACGGTTTAGGGCCTAGGGTTCCGTTTGATCTTTGGTAGGACTGCGTATTGTAGTTTCATTAAACAGGAGTACCTCCAATGTAATCACCAGAAAACTATAGTTCGTATTGTAGGGAACATAGGTACCCCTAATTTCTGGAAACCCATATACCCAAAATGGTTGGCTACCCAGCTATTACGTTCGTCTTGATTAGGATGGTTTTGGGACTTCCAAGATCACGAATTCGAGGAGACTTCTGCCAATGAGAGCACGTTCGGGGCGAGTGGAAATTAATCTACCCCCACTCAGCATTAGGGGTTTAGGGTTTAGGGTTTGGGTTGAGGGTTGGTTAGTTTTCTGGCGACCAGTGTATAGGCTGCAGGCTTGTGTTTAGGGCATAGGGTTTGCAATCTGAAGCAAAAAAAGCTGCATTGCCCTCAGCAAGATATACGTCTGCAGGCAAACATGCCCCGCGATCAAGATCATCTGGACTCCACGCTTGAAAGGAGGGCAAAATCCAGACCCCTGATTCATAAACCCCTCCCCTTAACAGGGATCATAATAGGATCCTAATATTGGGGCCCTTAAAACGAGAGGGTTTACTAATCATGGGTCTACATTAGCAATGACTTTGCCTCACCAGAAAAGTCTCACCAAACCTTGGGATGCAAACTGCACGTCACCTCAAATTAGGGGTACCATTTTGGGGGTTCCTATAATAAGGACTATAGTATTTGGGGGTCTATATTGGGGTCCCCTAATTTTGGGAAACTACCAGTTAGGGCTTTGTGAGCTATAGTCTAAACTCCAAGTATCCCCCCTTAATAATGGAGAATCAAATGGAAAAGAAAATGGAAAATGAAATGGAAACTGCTATATATAGGGTTTATGTAGGGGATTATAGGGGTTATAGTCTAAACTCCAAGTATCCTCCTTAATAACCCCTATTATAGTCCTCTATATATTCCCCTAAATAACCACCTTTCAGGAGTTTAGACTATAGCTCATTTGACTACAAGCCCTGCTGCAGAGCAGCTAACTCCACATTCTGTTTGGCGTGGCTTCTAGACGTGTGGGTTCCTTGGGAGTGCTCATCATAAAAGATCCCAAGCAGAACCCGAACTTGAGAACTACATAACTTGCAGGTTCTTAGTAGGGAATTAGGCAAAAATCTCTTTGTATCGGGACTATAGGGATAAATATTCCCTTACTCCCTACTGAGAACCAGTAGCAAAAGCGTCCTCGGTGAGCGTTTGCGGGTGCTTCTGGTTCGGGACCACCTGGCCGGCATCCCAACGCGAGATTTCCGAAAACTGGGCTGGCTCAGATGCTCCCTTTCAAAGGAACTGTGGGGGTTTCCCAAAGTTAGGGGTACCTTTTCGGGGTCCCCATAATAAGGGCCATAGTATTTTAGGGTCCACATTGGGTTCCCCCTATTTTGGGAAAGTACGATGTAAAGGCCTGAGTAATTAGCTTTAGGGTGTAGGATTTAGGGCTTAGAGCCTTTTGGGATGCACTCTTAGTACTTACCATACTTGCAGAAGTGTTGTTAAGGCTAGGGCATCAGATTGGCAACTATTCAGGCTTCTGTAAAACGCCCTGAACTACAATCTATGCTACATGCTGATAGTATACGGTGGGCATCCTTTATCAGGAGCAATTATTAGGGGAGGGGATTATATTTTGAAACCGGCCTAGGCCCGAAATGATAACCATAAACCGCAGCATCATAAACCTCATCAAGCCCCTAATCCCACGTAAACCCTAAAAGCTAACTCCAAAAGCATCCAACTCTGCCTCCAGCTCCAGATCTTACTGCTCTGTCCTAACCTAGTTAGGCATATGACAAAACACTGGTTAGTGTTATTCTCTGTCCGGTTTTAGGGTTTAGGTTGGTTTCGGGTTTAGGTTGGGCCCCGGCCCACTGAAAGTGACCACAAGGGATACTGGTACTTATGTTGGGGTCCTTATGTAGTCTTGGTGTCCCACTAGTAGTGGGTGGGGGCCGGACCCAAGTTATGTACAATAGTAACTCTAGGGGGATATGGGCTATAACCTGGTCATTGCTTGAATGCTTTCCTGCCCAGTGCCCTCAGCTCGGTAGGAACCCTAAGAGCATGAATAACCACCCAAAGGATCCCAAAAGTAAAAGGGAACCACCCAATAATCCTCTGGCTTCCCGAATGTTATAATGAAGATAGGGGATGTCTGTCTTATTTGTAATTATCGTTCAGAGGGTCCGGGGATATAGTACTTGGTTTCCACAATCTTTTCCAGTCCCTTTGCCACCTTACTGTACCTATCCTTAATAGGGGAATATTATGACTCCTTTCGCCCATTGTGGGAACTGTTGCCGTAAGGGGGAATGACCCCAGACAAAACTAATACGTTTTCATAGTCATCTCCATTCCTCAATACTAAACCCTAATCCCCAAACGCTCAGGAGGTGTTGGGAAGAAGTATACCCCCCCAAAGCCCTGATGCTTGCCAACTCCTCACATAATCCCTTTTGCATCGGGGCCTCACTACTGCCTGGATCCGCACTCACCAACATGCTTGACATGAGGCTTGCGCTGGAAACACAAGAAGCGGTCTCAAGCACTGCTGGCTCACAGACACTCCTCTCATTAGTACTGAAACACTCGATGAAGCCGTTGGCTACAAGAATCCGTAATGATGGAATAGATGAGAACCACATGCATAGTATTCTGAAAAATCCTAAACCCTAATCCCTCGACCCTATCGTAGTATATCTGGTCTTCAATCTATTGAACCGTTTGTATCTCCAACAATGAAGCAGAAATCCCGAAACCCCACCTGGAGGTCCAGGGGTTTAGGGTTTAGAATGTAGGGTTCAGGGTTCAGGGTTTAGGGGTAGAATCATGCATAGAGTCATGGAGAATCAAATGGAAAGCCGAAGGGAAAGTGACGAGGAAACTGGGGCTGCTCTCACACATATGCACGTATAGATATGTATGTGTGTGTGCAAATACACATATGCACAGGTCGTTACGAGGCAGTCAAAACAATGCTTTCACCTATCCTGAAATGCTAAATGAAAATGGATTCTGGGAGGGTAGGATGATACCAGAACACATGGAATGGCCTCGCTATTTGCTTGGACTTGAGATGCTGAACCCTAAGCCCTCGGCCTACACCCCCAAAACTCTCACTCATAAAGCCCTAAACCCCTTGTCCGAAAGCTTAACGCTAAAGCTAAATCTTAGGCCCTACACCCTCAAGCCCTAAACCCTAAGCCCGCGATCTCCTCCTACCCGGCCTTTGCAGCGTAGGGTGCCTTTGGCGTGAAGAGGTTCCAAGGGATCTCCTTGCCGTGAATCACCTGAGTAACATCATGGTTCTATTTAGGGTTGAAGGGGGTTAATTGGGGTTCGGGTTTACGGCTACTGTAAGGGCTTAGGGTTTTTGAACTTGCCGAAGTCATAAGCCATGTGATCATTGCTTTTGTCAGAACCTCTGCATCATGTAACCAAGGGTTCCTTCCCAACAGAGCGGTGGAAAAATCTATAGTTGAGGGTGTAGGCTTTAGGGGTTTAGGGGGTTAGGAGTTTAGGGTATCATGGGGACCCAAAGAAGAGCATAACTTTGAGGGCCTTCCATCTGTTACGACGTTGTTTCTACATCTGGAAGTCTCCCGTGTCATGCGAACTGTAGTCTAGACTCCCAGCATCGCCCTTAATAAGCCCTATGATACTCCCCACATATTCCCCGATACAAGCTCCTTTTGAGGAGTTTAGACTCTAAACCCCAAACCCTAAACCTCCCTGTCCATTTTTGCTCCATGGACTGCCAGAACAAAACCCGACACCCTAGATAACCCCCTTTCAGGAGTTTAGGGCTATGGGCCACCGAGCCTTCCTACAGCAATCAGAGGATCATTCCTCAGGATTGAGGCTTTAGGGTTTAGGGATTAGGGATTAGGGTTCAGGGTTTAGGGGTTAGGGTTCTGAACAATCTGGGCTGCTGCTGAGGAACTACCAGAATGAGGGGACCCTATCATCTACTACTATGGGAATAGAACTTAAGTTCCCTAACAGCAACCCAGCAAAAGGTTACCCCAAACCCAACACCCTAAACCTTTTGGCAGGTTTACAAACTGGACCTTTTGGCATAAACCCTTTTGGAGCCAACTGGACTTTTGAGTAAGCTACGAATAGAAAGGTCCCCCCTAGTTGAGTATAGCTTGTTTTAGATAAAACTTAGGATGACCAAAATGGACAAACTGCTTGCTCAACACCCCTACGAATAACCCTAAACCCTAAACCCTAAAACCCTAAACCCTCAATCCTAAACCCAAGTTTGAAGCGCACAGGTGCGATCATGGGACAGCACTCACTTCTGGGCCGACTGGAGTACAAGGCCCATGCCAACCCAGACCCTGGACCTTAAACCCTCGATAGTAAACCCCAGCCCGAATTCTAGGCCCCGAGCCCTGAACCTGCGCCCTAAACTTGTGAGCTTGTTTTTAGCTAGAGCCCTTTGAAATCCCAAATTCTGAGATTAGTCCTCCTTCCCGTTTGAACTCACTGGTCTACTTGCCTCTAATCCCCCCTAAGTAGATCGACTATGGAATTGGCCCATCTCATAATAAGAACCCCATATACCCCCTGTTCTATCTACTTAAGGGGGTCTATACATCCCAAACCCTAAATAGCAGTTTCCATTTTCTTTTCCCTTATCCCTATATAGCCCGGACGACAGACCCCTAACAGCCTAAACCCTAAACCCTGAACCCTAAACCCTAAACCCTGAACCCTAGACCCTGAACCCTACAGCTCCAGCCTTCACGCCCTTCTTCTTGACAGCCGCAGCCCGGCAAACAGTGACTGCGGCCTGGAGTGCGACTTCGGCGAAGCTGACGGTTCAGGGTTTAGGGTTCAGGGTTTAGGGTTACAAAGATTCGGGAGCCCTGCGAAGGGGGCTATAGCGGTTATACTGGAGGTTTTTATGGTAGTTTCCATAAATAGGCGGACCCCAATACAGACCGCAAATACTG